AATACCCCCCCAAAAAAACACATGCCAACTGTCTTCTCTGATATAAGGAGGCTGACTCATAGTGAGGTAGGGAGAGGGAGCATGGGAGGAATAGATGAATTCTAGATAGGGCAGAGGGGTGGGAGGGAAAGGGAGGGGGCAGGGGATTAGCAAGGATGGTGGAATGTGATGGACATCATTATCCAAAGTACATGTATGAAGAGAAGAATTGTTGTGAACATACTTCATATACAACCAGATATATGAAAAGCTGTGCTGTATATGTGTAATATGAATTTTAATGCATTCGGCTGTCATTTATTTTTTAAAAAAAAATCAATATAAAAACAGAAAGAAAGAAAAACAGAGAGAGAAAGAAAACAAAACAGAAAATAAGGGTTGAAGAGGGTGTGAAGAAATTTAAATTCCTATGCACTGTTGGTGAGAGGGCAAAATGATGAAGCTATGAAACCATATGGCAGTTCCTCAAAAAATAGATATTGAAAGACCACATGATCCTGCAATCCCACCACTGGGTGTACATTGAAAAGAATTGAAAGCAGGGATTCCAATAGTTTTCTCTGTCTATGTTCACAGCAGTATTATTCACAATGGCCAAAAGGTGGAAGCAACCTGCTATGGTTTGGATGTGGTTTGTCCTCCAAGAGTTCATGTGTTGGAAGTTTGGTTCTCAGTGTGGAGGTGTGGTAATGTGAGAGGTGATGGCACCTTTGCTAGGTGAGGCCTAGTAAGACATCACTAGTCATTGGGAATTCTGTTTATAAGAGGCATTAATGTACTTCGCATGGGATTCTCATTTGTTCTTGAGACGAGGTAGTTATAAAAGAATAATATTGGCCCTTCCCAGATCTCTGGCTTGTCTTACCATGTTATCATCCCCCCCCCACCCCCGCACATGCTCTACCATTATTATCTTACTATCTGCTATGTGGCACAGCCAAGCAGACCCTAAAAAGAAGCAAAATCAATAAAACCACTGGATCTGTCTGAGATTTTCAGCCCCCCAAACTGTAAGCTAAATAAACCATTTTTTCCAATGCCAGGTAAATGAATTAATATACAACCCAAATACCTGACAAATAAATGGATAATCAAAATGTAGTATAACATTCAACTGGACACTATTTATCCATAAAAGAAAGGTAATTTTGTCACAAGCTACCACATGGATGAACCAAAAAAGACATTATACTTATTGAAGTAAGCCAGTCAGGAAGAAAATATACGTTATAATTCTATTGTATGATATTTGTGGAGGATCGAATTCATGGAGTCAGATAGTAGAACACTTGTGGCCAGAGACTGTGGGGAATGGGTGAGGCAATGGGGAGTTTTTTTTTTTTTTT